ATATATATATATCTGTGTCAGTGTAATAACTTGTACCGGATGATAGCAAAACCTTGTCGAAACCGTTAGTACATTTGCTGTCAATGTTAACTTAATTATAAAGTTTTTCTTCATTACCCATTCAAACCGTCTCCAGCCATTATTAACCAATAATTGTTTATTAAGGAAGGTGTGTTTTTTCAGCTAGAGCAATTAAGATAAAAATAAATAAATATAAGGTAAAAACACCTAAACATAATAAATTGTTTAATTTGTTAAACCCTCGTCAGTTGTTATTTCACAAAAAATATTGACAAATGATTAGCAAGAAGAAGCAACTAGTTGCTTCGACCGATCATCCTTATTTTCGAATGACCGTTCCGACGGGGAAAAAAATCCACTCTATTTTTTGTAGCATTAAATTATTAGATGATGGTAATTAATATCCTTGTTGTTTTTTTTTACTCCCTCTTTTATATTCTATGATTTATGTTACTGTTTGGGTAAAACCTTAGCAAGGAACTATATTAATCCAACTTAAAAATATTATTGATTTTCATCAGTAGTTTTAGAAATATTGCTTAGCCTATTACTGATCGTAAAAGTATTGAGTAAGAACACCGTCTATTCAAAACTGCCAAAGTTTTCGTTCCAAAACTAATGATGTACATGAGAGAATAAGTACCAAACAATAAACTCTTGTTGTTAGTTTGTTTGTTTTGAATTTCGCGCTAAGCTACACGAGAGTTATCTGCTATAGTAGTCCATAATTTAGCAGTGTAAGACTAGAGGCAGCTAGTCATCACCACCACCACCATTTCTTGGGCTACTCTTTTACCAACGAATAGTGGGATTGACCTTCACATTATAATACCCACACGGCTGAAATGACAAACATATTTGGTGGGACTGGGATTCAAACCCGCGACCGTCAGATCGCGAGTTAATCGCCCTAAATACCTGGCTATGCCTGGCCTTGTTGTTAGTCGTAAAATAAAGAGAAAAAAACAGGCACGAACACCAAACTTAGAGCAAGTGGTGACGAAAAAAGTTATATTTTAATTACATTTGCCTGAACTGAATCAAATCCTCCCAAGGCTTCAGTACTATTTGACCTACTCGTGCTCGCTCCTCTATCAACAAGTTCGTCGTTATTTTCCCTCCAAGATACCATAAAGATTAGCTATATTAATTACGCTGCTCAAGATACGAGGACTTCAAAGAGACCTCGAAGTAACACAAAGGAGCTCACTATCCTTATACGATAATTGACTTTTAACATCATAAGATATGCGTTATCAACATATTCAAGAAATATGACATTCACTGTAGTCTTCCTTTTTGCTATATACTCAACCACTGTCCTAGCCAAATGAAGCGAAAAAAATGCGCCAAATATGTTGCTACCCTAGTCATTCTCTAGTTGAGGAACAAACTGTAATAAACATGTTATGTTTCAAATTGTGTCTTGGTACGTTTTGTTGTCGATCAGCACAAAGCTACGCAGCGGACTCTCTGTGCTTTGTTCACCACTGTATCAACATCTGATTTTTAGCGTCGTAAGATTGCAGACTTACCGCTGTACCACTGGGAGTGAGGTGGAGTTCTTTATTGTTTATTTGTTTTACAGCAAAGCCACATGGGTCAATTTACCGCAGAGAATCAAACTCCGGATTTTAGTGTTCTAAGTCCGTAAATTTACCACTATCCACCCGCGGGGGACCTTTGGTAAGAAACGGAGTTGCAAGATAAGTATTAGCTTTGTATAATATCAAATGCTTTAGTTTTCAGTTAGTCCTTGTATTAAAAATAATTATTGAATAATTTGTTTGTATTCATGAGTTCTAACTGTATATGTTTAAATTTGAGACACATGGTATAAATGCATATGTTATAAAGTTCATTAAAAATATTCAATTTAATATGGGATAATACTTGATTTATTTTTCTGTGTGTTTATTGAAATCAATTTTAAGTGCCTTGAGATAGCACCCTTTTCTATATAATATTCAAATGTCATGATAAGACAAAGGATATCATGACATTCTCATGATATTACGGCTCACAAACTATTTGAGATATTTACCATTAAAGGTGGCCATTATTTCAACTAATACACACTAAAGCATGAGCAGTACACAAATATTAAATTATGTCACCATAAATACTATATCACATAAAGAACGAATGAAATACATTCCTAATTGTAAGCTAGAAACTCCTGAACATCTCATTTAGATGTACAGTTAAATAGGGCTCTTACTAAGTGCTATCAAAGTGGTCATCAGATGGCGCGGATGCATTTTCATTACACTTGTAGATTTCTTGTTGTTGATTGTTATTATATACAAAGCTACACAAAGGGCTATCAGTGTTTTGCCCACCACGGTTATCGAAACTCGACTTTTAGCGGTATAAGTCCGCAGACAATGCCGCTGTGCCACTGGAGGGAACACTTGTTGAGATGGTAAGTGCGCTCTTAGTGACATAAGATCTTTGTTTCCATCCCGAATACATAGTCAAGCTACTGGGCAAAAAAATCTTATCAACGGACTTTTAAAGTTTTAGACAGACTTGAATCTCTGATTAAAGAAAGTATACCTGTTAACCAAAGTCTCAGTAGCTTAAATAATCCATCAATTTCTGTTGATACATGCATGTTTTAATTCTTTCTCTTTAGCTATATAGATACATTTATTGTTTTATTTGATGTGGATCTACGTCCAATATCTTACAGGTTTATACAATCTCTCTCCTGCTTTTGAGTCCTAATATTACCCTTACAAACTTATATCTTAGTACATAAGCTTCTATTTAACCTTCAAGTCATTATTTGTAATTATAGTTTTATATTTTCTGTAAGAATTTGCAGAAGATAGAATTTGTGTATTCCGAAACGTTAGATAAATGTGTTGTTATTTGTCACTTCTGTGGTTAAATGGGTCATCATTACCTACCTCTGTGAAACAAGATCAATTGAACTTGTAAACAGCTCAAAATTGTTTAATGTTTGGAACTACATCATTCATATAAAATCAAGTTAATGTTTTGAAAAACTGTATTAAAAACGTATCGCACTTGTAATGGTGTATAGGTTAGGCCAAAGAGATATACTAACTTATCTTAAATATAATAATAGTTATTCTGTTACGGTAAACATCTGACATCTTTACCCAAAGTACTAGAGCCAAAAATTAACAGCAGTTGGAGTTTCTAAAATCAAATAATTGCAATTCTAAGTCACTTGTAAACTATCAAAATCTGGCTATTTTATTTCAGATTCTTAACTCTTTACTTTATGTGTCTTTCTTACATAATATTTTAACTTATATAAATTTACCGATATAATGGTCTAGACTCCATTTTCAATTAGGTTGGTGAAATGGTTAGTTGTTATTAATCGCAAAGCAACACAATGGACTGACTATCTGTACTATCTGCCGACCACGGATATCGAAACCTGATTTTTAACGTTGTAAGCCTGTAGATTTTCCGCTGAGCCACTAGGGACCTTCAGTATAGGAAATATTAATGCAGTAATTTTCACTGTAGAAATATGATCAAAATTGCTAAAACTAAAATACAAGTGCTCATATGATAAATATATATCCGAAATCGCTAATTTTAATATTCGTCCTTACTATTGCATAAATGAAAAAAAAAACAACCAAAAAACATTGCCTTCAAGAAGTAATAAAATATAGAACCTCATTAGCTGCGAAACACGTTAATTGTATTTCAAGTTTTTTGTTTTTTAAATATTTTTCTAACTTTGTATTAAGTCTTTAATTTACATCAAAATAGTGCAAAGCTATAGTGAATACTTTGTGACAAGTTTGTTTGTTTTGAATTTCGCGCAAAGCTACACGAGGGCTATTTGCACTAGCCGTTCCTAATTTAGCAGTGTAAGACTAGAGGGAAGGCAGCTAGTCATCCCCATCGCCAACACTTGGGCTACTCTTTTACCAACGAATAGTGGATTGATCGTCACATTATAACGCCCTTACGGCTGAAAGGACGAGCATGTTTGGTGTGACGGGGATTGGAACCCGCGACCCTCAGACCTAACCACCTTGCCATGCCGGGCCTCTTTGTGACAAGAACATAACTGTTGTCTTCTAACTTCGAAAGTGTTTTTATGTTTGTCTCATTTATAAAAGTAGACATTTATAAGACATCAAAGTTAATGACCACTAAGTGTTTTTGAAGATTAATAATAATATTGTTTTTATCCATTAATTAACAAATAATAAGAGGAACAGTGGGAAAGAACAGGTTTATACAGTATACGACTATCTAATTTTTGTAGAAAGATTTAGTTACGAGTTGGTGATTAAAAAATTAAGATGTTTTTGGTTGAATTTAACCCTAAAAGTTATATGAAATTTTAACACAGTTTGATAGCCATAAAGAGTTTTGAGTCTTTATTTTCCAATCTCGTCTACACAGATTTTCACGTCATGTTAGGTGCAGTAGAGATGAAATTAAAGTTTTATAAGGAAGATAAAAAACAATGTATATACCAGCATCATTTGAGTTACCAAACGTAGCATGGTAATCAGTCTAAACATTCCAGATCTTGATTACTTAAATTAGTAATAGCCGTAGTGATAGGGAGCGTAGTGTCCGTAATAGTGTCCTGGGTAATAACCGCCGTAATAAGTAGTAGGAAGAACAGCTTTGTTGACCAGAGTGTTGGCGGGATCCTTAGAGCTGTCTGTACCTGGTTCGTTGGTATGAACGTTAGCATTGAAGCCACTAGCATCAGCTTTATAAGTTACGATGCGCCTGCGACCATCAGCATCAGTCAATCCATAGGAGCCGACCTTGACGTTACCGAAAGCGTCACCAAACTCTCTGCGGAAGGTTCCTCCGGTAGCATGACCCTCATTGTAGCCAAAGTTATAATTGCCGATAGCCTGTATTAAAAGAAACAAACAAAAAACAGTAATAAATATATATGTTTATTATTACACATACATTTGATTGGTTATAATTGTTTAGAAACCGAGTAAATTAAACTCTATTTCATAAATTTAATTGCTGAAAAACAGTAAAGTGAGATGCAATTCTTACCTAAACATTTGTATTTGTTTAAACTCTTATTCTTTCAATGAAATTTCGTTATATAAAAAAAATGGCTTAGATTGAAGTCATCTAATATAGATGCAATAATCTTCAGTCTGACAAAGATAAATATTACAGTACTTACCTGTCATTAATATTTGTCTCTTCTGTATTTCAAAACTAGACATGGCAGATTAATAACTTCCAACTAGCTTATGATCTCCAGACTCTAGCAAGTCCATTTTTACATTATCGTAAGAGAGGTTTCAACTTACACCATAGTTCTCTTTATACATTTACGTGGTTGCCATAATGTAAATCTAATGTAATTTCTCAGTTTAGTGATTATTGCCGTTATAATGGCAACTAGCAGGCCTAATTATTTACATGATGTAATGCAAAATAATGTCAAATTTGGGATACGCTTTCGGGAAATCCTCTTAAAGGTGTTTTCTAGAAATAACTGGAATCTGTAAGAGGGTTAGATGAAACGTTTCACCTTTGTGCAAACCCTGGGGTCGATATGATTCGTTTGGCACCATTTAGAAGTTGGTGAGTCCAGAAGTTTGGGAGTACGAATTTTCGGAATTTAAAAATCCAGGTTCTGCAAGTGTGGGGTGAAAACTTTTAACTTTGTGGAAACTCCGAGACGATTCGTGTCCTACCATTTAGAGGTCAGTGCGACCAGCTGTTTAGGAGGAGTTACGTGACACAGTGAACCTTATTATGTACATGCAACAAACGTTATGCTAGGAAAGCGAAAAGTCTCTTACTGAATCAATATGAAAATTGTTTCAAACATAAGATAAATTCTACTTACGTCTTGGTTTTTAAACTGTGTACTGGCGCCAGCTCCGTAATAATATGCAGGGTGGTACAAATACCCAGCATGGGCAGTAGCA